GGGGGGGGGGTATAGAAGCCTACATCAAGCGATAAGACTAGTCAGCGATGACTTGTCAGCGATGACGAGTCTAATGGTTTGATTTTGCTTCAATCGGGGGCAGACCAGAGGGGATATGTTCTCGTTGCTATCGGTGCACGGTGGAACAATCGCGAGTGCTTTGCTCTCGTTGTACCGCACCGTCTTATCGAACACGCCAGTATAGAGCGCAGTACCCTCGTATTCACGCTCAAAATTCCGTTTCTTGACGCTTTTAGGAGGAGAAGGAGACGGAGACGAAGGAGTCGCGTAACCCCCTGTGGGCCAAGCCTGGCCCCGATGCGGACGGTGGATGGGAGGAGTGCAAGGAGTCGGAGCCCCCCATGGGCAGGGCGGTGCCCCCGTGCAAGGTGAGCAAGGAAGGTTGGCGTTGCTTTTGAAGTGCAGATTTTGCTGCTGCTGCTGCTGCTGCTGCTGCTGCTGATGTTGTCGTTGCCGTGGTTGTATCTGGGCCAGTTTGCATGTGGTTGACGCAACGTTTCTCCTTGGTGTTGGCGGTGGACTGATTTTTTGTTGTGGTTTCTCCGCCTTGCGTTTCTTTTTCCGTCGTGAGGCTGTGAATCGGCCACAGGATAGGTATAGAGATGATTCAGTGTTGTTGGTGTATCGCACGGCCCCACACAGATACATGTTTCTTAAAGCCGTTGTCCATTGCTTTCTTCCCCTTCGTGCACCGATGAAGGGCTTGCCTATTTCCTGAATTTTCGTTCGCTTGTTGCCGTACCACCTCCGATTGCCCTGTCTTGTCATTCGAGCATTTGTCTACGGTGTCATCCTCTCTTCCACAACACGCGAGTGCCCCCGCGAGATACCGCTTCATCTGCCTGAACAGTAGGCTTTCGCCCTCTTTGTCACCCACACCAGGGCGAAGTCTCTCCTTCCGCCGCCGTGCCACGCACGAGTCACTTGCTTCATCTGCCCTCCGACGTATTAAAAATAGTATCCAACATAGCCTGTACACCTGTTTGTCACGCCTGTTTGCCACCCCCGGCGAACTCTTTCCTCCCTCCCTCCGCCGTTCCAGAGGTACGAGTCGCTGTTCCATCTGCCTCATGTATCTAGAATGGCTTACACACACACCTGTTTGACACCCCCAGCGAACCCTCTCCTCCCTCTTCGTCATGCCCACCACCGCCGGCACCACCAGGTCCTGACGCCTTCGAGGAAGCTCCGCCAGGTGGCGGCCGCGCGGCCGGTCCTCTACCTCGGCTCCGGGACCCCGCCGGCGCCGCGCGTGATCCTCCTCGACGCCAACAGCGACAGCAGCAGCCGGGGGGAGGAGACGATCAACGACGAGAGCAGTGGCGCAGTCGACCTCAGCGGAGAGGCGGAGGAGAAGGGTATCGTGGCGGTTGCCACCGAGGTTGAACCGGCGACACCGGTAGCGGCGGCGGCGGCGGCGGCGGCGGCGGCGGCGGCGGCGGCGGCGGCGACGGCTGCCACGGTGACCACCACGACGCGGCTCGAGCGGATGATGACGGGAAGGAGCGTCGGGCGCGGCGACCGTCACTTGTCGTCTCCGTCCCGTGGAGCGATGGCCGCTCCTGCCCCTGAATCTATTGCGATTGCTGCGGCGGGAGGGCAAGGTGGAAATAACGAGGCGTTGGTAGCGGCGGCGTCGGCATCGGATTCTCCCTCCCTGAGCGCGGGTGGCAGTAGTACCGTCAGTGTTGGTAGCTCCTAGAGGAGAGAGGCATATGATATGGCCATCGCCGGGAGAACGTTGGCGTGCGCGGCCGCCTCCAATAGATATTGTCTTCCCGTTCCCGCCGGCAGAGCAACGCCGCACTCTAAATCAAACCCCCGTTCCTTTCGTCAAGGAATCAGGGCGTGGTCGGCAGTCTAGCGCGCGCGTCATACCACGCGGCTCGCGGGCCACCTCGCCTTTAGGGAGGGTTGGTAGAATGACGTTTTAGCCCCCCCGCTTTGGCTGGAACGAGGCAGGTTTGTTCTTGTAGAGGTTTCACGAGGCGTTGAGAGCATGGCAGGGAGCCAATTTTTGTTGCACAGGGGGAGGGAATGAAGCGTCGGTGGTGGGACGGGAGGCACGGTGGCGCGGGGTGTGTACGGGATCTTGTCAATGAGGCGTGTGCGGGGAAGGTGCCGTCGCGTTGTGCTTTTCCGGGGCTTTGTGCGGCGGCATTCATGGCACAGCGGCCGCTTACTTGTGGTGTTTTTTTTCTCTGTCTGAAGGGCAGATGTTTCGTATTTTAGGACATGAAGCGCACTCACGCACGCACGCGCGTGCATAAGAGAAAATAGAGCGCACACACGAAGAAGAGTGTGGTGCTCATGTGGCGGTCTAGCCCTTTCGCATTGATATTTAACGCGATACACACGTACCTTTTAGTGTATTCTCTGTGGCAGTCTAGGAGATATTCTCTGTTGGTCGAGCTTGATTGATTCGGTGTTTGACAGCTAGCTGTGGGGGGAGAGGTGGGAGGGCAACGGCCGTCGGTCGACTACTGACGACAGGGATTAAGTTCTGGCGTGCGGTAAGTTTTTCGGCAAATGTTTGCAACTTCGTTGGGCGCGGCGGGGGGAGTAAATAGTAATTTGTTGGGTTTAGTCGATGGTACTTATTATAGCTGGATTGTGTTGCCGATATAAATGCGATAGAAAGAGATGGGTGCGTTCTTAAACGTAACTCACGCTCTCAAGGGCGATTTGGTCTGAAAGACTCGATGCGGACTGCCGTGTGTGGATTCGAGTGCGCGGAGCGTTCTCGAAGAGATACATCTCGCTTTGGAATGCCTGAAACAGATGGAAAATGTTTTTTTTGGAAGCCCGTCGTCATAGGTGTGCTTCCTCGCATGTACAACAACATGCACGCGCCGTTGTTTCTTTTTTGTCCATCGTTCACGCACCAGGAGATCTTTCGGGAGGGTTGGTGGGTGTATCTCTCGACGCCCTGACGTTCATTCTCGGAGGTTCTGTATTTTGTTTTCGGGAGGAACGAGCGTGGAATGCCTGGGTACCAGATGTAAACGTACACACATTCCCAACTTTCCAGGACTGACCCACTCCCATTCTATCCACCGCCTACCCCGGTGGAAAGAGAGAGGCGTCCGTATGTCTCTCCCTATGCATGCATAGAAGCGACGTTTTTGACTGGGGGGAGTGACGCAAAGTGCACTTAGTTGTGAAATGTTGTGCGTGAAGGGCGGGCGGGGTTGAGTGAAGGTACTTTTTGGCGATTCTTCCTCCAGACCTCTTTATTTGTCCAGCGTGCTGCTGCGGGCGGGCGGGCGGGCGGCGTGGTATATTCAACGATTTCGATGGGTTGCGGTGCTGCAGCACGGTTGGAAAGCTGAGGTGGTTTGTGTCGTGCTCGTTAGCGGTAGAGAGAGAGCGGCTACTGGCTGGCGTCAAAAATTGACCTTTGAAGGAACACAAACACGTGAATCAGATTTCGTCAACGTTGCAGGCTGTCATGATTTTGTCTGTTGGAAGTGAAGAGTATGTTGTTGTTGTTGTTGACTTCACATTAAACCGTATGCCAGTTGCTAAATGCCAAAATCTAGCAAAGACTCTCAGCCCGTGGTCACGAAAGTGCTAGAGCCATCTGAGGATCTAAAGAACACGCACACGTAGCAAGAAAAAGGTATCCAAGAGCCCGAAGAGGTACTACTACACCTATATATAATCCCTGCAGCACCGTACGCGTGCCCAAAACTGAACTACACGTCCGTCTCACCGTTCGACTACAGCAACATCACCCCC